CCAGTGGGGACCGTCCCGCACGGTCTGAGGAGATTTTTCTGTTTGTACGATCCTCTCACGTCCACTGCAGTGGCCTCCCCTTCGAGGTCAGGGCTCCATAACTGACCTGGAGCAGACGGGCCCGGAGCCTGAGTCTGTAGGGCACCTGGCAGGTGGGAGAACCAGGCGAGCCTGGCATACCACAGGAGCATGACCAGGCCCCTTCCAAATGAACCAGACAAGTGACAGCCCACGTTAGAAATGATGAGGTCTCCCTCGTGATGACAGGATTGTTGGTGGTGACTTTCAACTCCCCCCAAGTGACAGAGTCCTTGAGACTCACTCCCAGGATTTCTACTCTCTGGTTTAGGAAGATGGAGTAGAGAAGACTTCCTTGTTACTGATAAGGAAAAGGAAGCTCAGAGGCATCACACGCCCTGTCCAAGGTCACTCCACATACCACAGGTCGGAGATGCAAGGAATTTGGATCACTTCTGGATAAGACACAGTTCCCGGGGTAGTCTCTGAGCTTGAACTGATGCCTAATTGGCTCCCAAAACCTAGCTTACTTGTCACTTGTTTTGCATCCCTCACAAAGCCTGTCACATTGCCAGGTGGGTGACACCTGGTGGGCACTCTGTGAATTTTGGGTCAAGCTATACCAAGCAAGGATCTCCCGACATCACCCCAGGCCCCCCACCCGAAGCTGGCAGGCCTGCAACCTTTGCTCCCGGCCAGCAGGGGGCGCGCACACATTTTTTTCTAGTGGACTTCTCCCCAACCTCCCAGCCTGCTTTCCCCTTTTCTCCCCTCCTGTGATTGAGCATGTGTTAGGCATACAGGGGCCCTACTCCAACCAGCCTGTTTAATGTCAGGAGCCTTCAAATTGGGCGGTCCTCCCCAGCAGGCAGCCCTCTGGCAATGCCTGAGATCTAATACTTACTGAGTGCTCCCTACGCCAGGCACCAGCTAGGCAATTGATGAGCATTATCTCATTTCATCATTTGAGGTGCTAATATGATCACTTTTATCACGGAGAATACTAAGGTACTGTTTTTACCTCATTTTAAAAATGAGAATACCGAGGGTCGGAGCTGGTAAGTGGCTTGTCACCCCCACCCTCAAGACCTTGCCTTTCTGTCCCCTGGTGGTGGGCCCGGGCAGGGGGCAGCTGGCCGAGGTCTGGGCCTCCAGAGAGGGCCAGGTCAGAAAGAACCCTTTCGAGAAAGGAATGGTTTGTTCCCGCCCCAGGTCTGCCCAGGTTCCTGCCTCCTTGTGTTTTGTCACTGTTCCCCAAAGCTCCGGGCAGGCCCCTTGAGCTGCCAGCTTTTTACTGCTCACGTGGGGCACCCATGACACTTCCTCCTGGTGTCAGTTCCAGCCACCTGGCATATACTGGGAAGTGTCCTGGCTGGTGATGTGAGTGGTGGCGGTAGGGAGGTGAGGGCCGGCCCCATGGGAGGGGTGAAGACATCACAGCATGTCACAGTAGAACCAGCTAGTCCACCCCTCTGCCATTTTACCTGTAAGGAAACAAACCCGGACAGGAAAGGCCACTGGCCCAAGGTCACTTAGCCTGTGATGGCAGAGCCAGGCTGAATGAAGCCCAGGACTCTGAGCTGACAGTCTTTCTTCAGGCTTCAGCTGATTATATTCTCTGGGGCCCAGAATCATCTCCTTCCCGCCACCTGATTCCCCGCCACATCCCGGCCGTGTTCCGTGTCTGCTCCTGCCCTTCCCATTCCAGGGGCGGCCTCATGCCCCTCTGCCACGGCTGCTTTCTCTCCCTGTGTCAGAGCCGCTGGCTCCCTTTGACCAGTCTGTAGCCCATGGATTCTATTCCGGGTGGACTTACCTTAACTTCCCAGCTGATCTGGGAGACAGTGCCCAGGGGGAAGGCTGTACAGCAGGGAGGGCCCTGAGTCAGGTGCTCCTGAATCGGAACCTGGCTGGGCCACTAACTTGCAGTGTGTCTCAGGGAGGTCACTTCACTTCTCTGGGCCTCAGTGTCCCCTCTGGTCTAGATCAGGGCTTTCAGAGTCTGTCCGGGGAGAACATCTCTGGCCAGCACGGACAGGGCTCTGCCCCGGGCCCTGCCCCGGACTCAGCTGCAGTAGTTCCACATTTTTATTTCTTTCTTCAATACTTGGGCATTGGGGTGGGAGGAGATGGGGTGGGAGGTTCTGAGGCTGAAAGAAATTTGTAAAACATTTTGAGAAAAACCTTTGTACTCTGATCTTATTTTTCTTCATACTCTTCTCATTCTCAGTCCCTGGTAGGAATATGGCATCTCGCATAGAGTATTCTCAATCCATATCTGGTGGACAGAATTGAATGTCGGTGTTGAGTCTGGCCGGGCAGGGGTGGGACCTGCAGGAAGTAAATGCCCTGGAGCAGGCTTCTAATGTGAAGTGGACCTTTGAAAGGGGACTGAGGCTGCCTAGACTCTGCAGCTTCTGCTTGCTCCTCACCTCCTCTGGGTTCCCTCCCAACTTGCCCCGGGAAGTGAGGCTGCCTCTCTCACAACCCGGCCACGGGGGCCACATTGTCCTTGAACAAACCCTGTTCCATCCCCTGCTGCCAGGGCCGCCCACGCGCTGGGCGGACGTGAGTCTGGCAGACGCTGGTGTGGCTGAGCCCTCCTGGAACCGGTTCAGGAGGGCCGTGGGGCTGGCACGGAGGGAAGTTCTGCGGCCTGGTCAGCAGACCAAAAGCTAGGCGGTCCGCCAGGGCCCAGGGCCCCCAAATGCAGGCCTTCCCAAGCTGCAGATGGCTACGACGGAGCTTGTCTGGGAAGGGACAGATTTTGTGCTTTTTTGTCAGTTGCAGGCCCTGTTAGTTCTGCTTCCAAATCTTGGCTCCTCCTGGAGCTACAAATGACACTCTAGCCTTCATCCCGTAGCAGGGCTTCCATGCCCCAGGGTAATCAGGGACCACCCCAATTGTGCAAGTGTGGCTGCCCACAATTAGGAAAGCCTGTGTCTCACAGTGTCTAACTCTGACCCAGGTAAGAAAAGGCATGGGAAGTAACAAAGGAGAACCAATGTTACAACCTCAGTAAGTTTCATCAGACACTTATTAACACGCTGTTTGAATTTCCTTGCCACCGTCATCTTCGTTGTTATTCCAGCACCCGCCCACCTCTGAACTGCTCTAAAGTTTACTTTATTATTATCTGTCTCATTCTTCGGGTCATTCAACATAGTTGTTCATGCATTCACCTCAGATTGTCTCAACAGGGATGTCTTTAATCTTTAAGAAACTACTACATGCTGGGCACCATTAGGAACTTTGCAAACTTTTATTTAGTTATCACAGCGGCCCTGTGAAGTATGCTTTTGGTTGCAAGTAACAACCTCAGTTCTGTTGGATTGAGCCAGTGGTCCCTCATTGAACAGTGAAGGAATTGATGACCTCAGGAAATACTCTGGAAGTGGGTGGCTCCGAGGCATGAAAACCCAACTGCTGAATTGTGCCACCAGGACCCAGGTTCTTGCCACGTTTCCCTTCTATCATCTTTGGTGTATTGGCTTGATTTTTTGAGTAGCTGTCTTCATCACAACAAAATGGCTGCTGTGGCTCCAGCCATCGTTTCAGACATAACATGCAGTTGCTGAAGGACAATTGTTTCTCTTGTGTTTTAAGAGCAAGAGAGTATTTCCTAGAACAACTCTTCACACATACACCACAAAGATCCCCACTATGTCTCAGTGACTGGAACTGGGTCCCATATCGATCCAAACATGAATCACTGGCAAGAGAAACATGAGACACTAGGATTAGTCTGTCATCGGGATGTCTCCCTCCCCACTTTAGGAACAAGGACTTCTGAGAAACATTTCAGGGCACTAGGAAGGAAGCAGTAGCGACAATGAGCTGGCAATCAGAAATGTGTCTCCCACACCGGTAATTATTTTTTATCGCCATTTTACAGATGGGAAAACTGAGATTAAGAGAAATGAAGTAATGCCTTAAAGCGACAGTCAGATGCCAACTTAGTATTTGTACCCAGAACTCTTTTAACTCCAAAGCCCTGACTCTTTCTACTATGGAATGTACCAAGAACTATTCTCTATCTGCTTATGAGTAAGACAGATTCTTATATCCACACCTACCCCAGATTCTTGCTGGAACAGGGAAGGTATAAATAATATACACATACATTCACATAATATTTTATTGCCAATAAAATTACATCAGAAAAATTTATATTCAGGTGCCTTCATTTGACTAGCGTTTATTTAGGGCCCTCTGGGTGACTTTTGGGGATAGAAGGAAAGCCCGAGCCTTGAACTAGGACAAGTCACCAATGGGGAGGCTGTGTGCATGGGGAACTACAACTCTCTGTGACACATTCAGATCGCCATGGGGTGACAGAGACAGACATGCTGGACACCGGGTTCACGGGAAAGGAGAAGACTGAGGTGGGATTTGAAAGACACACGGAAGCTGGTTCAAGGAAGAGGGGAAACATTTTTGCTAGACAGAGAAAAGAACCCTGCAAAGCCACAGGCTTAAAAGCTCACATGGCATTCACGGAACAAAGAGGGATTTCACGTGGTCAGAAAGTAATGGGGGGGCAGGAAGAGGGAGAAAGAGGGGCCGGAGGGGTTTCCCAAGGGCCCTGTGTCCCAGTGGAGGAGTTCGTCTTGATTTCGGTTTGGCGCCTGGAAGATTTTTAGGCGGGGCTATAAAGTGATCAGATTGGAATGACTTTGAAAACTCGAACCCCTAATGAACCCGAGTGAGTGTGAGCGTGAGCGGGCAATGCAGAAGGAAGGAATGGGCGGCTCCGGCACAGATGTGCGCTCCAGATGTGTACATTCCAGCACAAGTTAAGAGAAGGCGCCAAGAACGGATTAGGAGTTACTCTCCCTGGCGTTGGCAGCGTACGTGGTCAAGTGGGGACCGACGTGCCAATGCAGGGATGAGCAGGCCGTCCGGGGTTCGAAAAGACTCACAGAGACGACAAATAATGACTAATGTATCCATGCAGAACAAACACACTGACTCTGAGATGATTATTATTATCTTCATTTTACTTATTTACTTTTAGACAGAGGGGAAAGGAGGAAGAAAGAGTGGGAAAGACCTGTGGTTGCCTCTTGCATGCCCCCTACTGGAGGTCCGGCCCGAGACCCAGGTGTGTGCCCTGACTGGGAATTGAATCAGTGACCCTTTGATTCAAAGGCCACTGAGCCACACCAGCCAGTGCTGAGATTATTACTAAAAGCCTCTACCCGGTGTTTACTACATTCTAGGCACTCTGCTAAGTACTCTATGAGCGTTACCTTATTTCATTCTTACAACATCTTGTAAGGAAAATTTAAGCTACATTGTGTGAAATTGCAAATATGTAATGTATTTAATTTAGAAAAACAGATCAAGAAACCTGGAGGTTGGCAAAGGTCGCATAGTCACACGTAGCAGATTTAGGACTGGAACCCCTGTCTGTCTGATAAGAACTTTACAGTAAGGCAACCTTGAGTTCTAACTGCAGCCACCCCTTACTAGCTGTGTGTCCTGAGACGAGTTACTTAACCTCTCTGAGCTTCCATGTCTTCATCTATAAAATGGGGATAATAACTGAACCCCCTTATTAGGTAGGGATTAGAAGAGAGACTGCAAAAGCCAGATGCAGAAGAGGTGTCCAATGACTGTTAGCTGTGCTTGTCTTCATTGCTATTAATATTCCGAAGCCTGGGCTGTTGAGCCACTTCCCAGCCTGCTGTGGGGGAGATGCCTCCTGGGGTCAGCGTGTCCCCTGGAAGGAAAGGAAAAGAGATTGTACTACAGGAAACATGACCAGTGTCACTGGTAAAGAGTCTTCGAACTCACAGGGTGAGGGGAGCCAGGAGCTGTGCCTCTCATTTCCAGAACTGCAGACCCCTTCTTGGTCCCTCCTCTCTTGAGGTCTGGGGTCCTTGCAGCCACAGGGGATTGACCCAGGAGGAAGCAGCCTCTCCCACTGCAGAACGTGGCTGGGGCCACTCTGCTCTCACTCAGGGCGGCCTTCCTGGGAGCTGTTTCTGCCTCCTTTTCTCAGGAATCACCCTGAATAAGAGAGTATTTCCAGGAAATCCCAGCTGTCTTTGCTTTCGAGAACCACCTTGATCCGTGAGGGGTCCTGCCAGTCCCTACTGCCCTCAGGCCTCATGTATGCGCTTTCTGACACATGCGTGTTTGCAGTTGTCTGTGTGTGTGTTTCCGGGCCTAAGTGAAGCTGCGCTGGCATGGGCTGGGGGTTGGCAGCTTCTCGGCAGCAACATCTCCAGGACGCCTTTTCCCCATTACATTCCATGCCTGGTGGGGCGCCTGCCTGCTGGGTGAGTATTGACTCTCTGCACTTCGCCATCTAAATCTTAGGGTGTTCTTTGGGCAGAAATTACAAGTGCCGCTAGTTGGAGAATGACGTTCAACCCTGGCCTCCAGCTGTTCTCAACATATCTCTCTCCTGCAGGAGGATGGGGGTGCTTCAACTCAGACTGATATGGAGGCGCTACACTAATAAAAGGCTGAAAGAGGTCGAGAACAGGCGGGCCAGCTAAACCACACCTTCGTTTCAGCGTTTTTTGGATGTGCACAGATCTTTCCGGCACTGTCTGCCCTTTTGCTTGGCTGGACTCTTGCACAAGACCTGGCTGCCCTTAGCTCAGTCTCTCTGAAAAACACGTTCGGCCCCCTCCAGAGAAACTCAAAACACAGACACTCCTTATGCATTTTCCTGGAAACATTCTATAGCTCCAGCCTGGGAAAGCTTCCAAAAGTTTTGGAGAACCAAAGATAACAAAGAGAGAGAGCGCGAGCGTGCGGTGCAAGAGGAGAGAAGCTTGGGCAAATGCTCCTGTTGGTTAATGTTCAAGGGAACAGACTTGGATTGTGGGGAAAGGAAAAAGGAAGGGTTTCCCAGGTCAATTTAAACATTTGTGCTGTTTGTTTTAAAGGCAATTTCAAAATATTTGGCCTCCCCAAAGCAAATTTTTGGAATCTACCCAGAGGGCAAAAACTTACCCTTCCCTCTTCAACCTGGAAGTTTTCACACCAGAGGCCCAACTCATTCCTGAGCTCTGGCTTTTAGAAAGGACTTTCCCAGCCTTCCAAGACTCCCTGCCCCCCCTCACCCTGCTGACCTGTAAGGAGTTATTTTTGCTCCACCCCGAAGCAGCTGCATTCCAGCTGTGGCGCTATTATGAAACATTCAGGAATGCCCTGGCTGGAAAGGTAAATGAGGAGTGTGTCCTAATGGCACCCGAATGCTGGCAAAAAAAATCTGCAAACAGAGAAGCACAACGAACAGATTCTTGACTTCAGGTTCCTTTTATAAATCTGTGCAGAAGAGCCAGCTGTGAGCTTACAGAGAGTTTTTAGTGGTTTCACAGACAAAAGTGCTGACCAGCCTGACACCCCTTACTGTGAAATGCAAGAAACAAAATTCGAACAGATTTGTGAGGAGTCAAAAATATTTTCACCTGCTCATGAGCTCTCATCTTTTTAATTAAAGGCATCGACTTGCTCAAAACAAGTCTTTGGAAGAACAAAGTAAACAGAACCTTAATTTAGGAATTTGCCAATTGATCTTGACTACTGTAAGCAGGTTATATCAGACGATGCGGGTCTCTTGGGAGGATCCCATCCCTTCCAAAGGGACTGCCTTTGCCTGAGGACTCAGGTGGAAAGGGGGCCTTAGAGACCAACAAAGATCCTTTGAATACACAGAAGTTGGCCAGACAGGGCAGGCCTGAGCAAATGGCTTTTTACGCAGCTGAACCACACCCCGCCCCCCCCCACCACCACCGCAGCTGTCAGAGCAACTGCCACCAAGCCCCGTGGATCGCCAGAGTGCTGCAGCATGAACTGGGGCCTTTCCCCTCAGTCTCTCCACCATCACGTCATCTCCTGAGCCTGCACCGTGGACCTCAGGCTAACGACAGCCCATCTCACTATCTAGGTTTAGACCAGCTGGCAGCAGCTGCCTAGCTACACGCTCTTATCCAAACTGCTTAATTCCCTGGGTCCTGGGATTCTGCACCTTTTCACCAGCATCATCGGCCACCAAGCAACAATGAACCGCCATGGGAATTCTTTGAGAAGCCAAGTATCCAGGGTGAGGCACTCCATGAAGTCCTCCATCAATTCCCGGTGCTGAAAGCGGATATGGAAATTTAGTAGGAAAGCTGGTGGCCTGGGACCCAGGGGGCCACTAAGCTATTGTGAAAGCTTTCCTCTCCCCACTTCTTCCTGCTCCTGCTGTCCCACTTCAAACACTCCCTACCATCCACCTTTTAACACCTCCAAGGCCACCACTGCCACCACCCCCCTCCCACCACTGGCTCAACAACTCGCTGCTCACCCAGGTCCTTTCAGAGTGAAGTGTGCTCCGTTGCCATGGAGAGTGCCTGTCCCCCCCCCCCCAAGCCCCTACTTTTGGGCGCTTTGAGACCCTAGGAGGAAACTACCAGAAAAGCCCCAAGCATTGTCCCTCCTGAAAACAATGGCTCCCAGGGTCTGTGCCAGACACTCACAGCACCCAAAATAGACCCATTGTCTTCTTGTGCAATATCCAGGAATTTGGCGAAACTCATCATTTTTCAGGTTACCGATAAATGCAAGTTTGGAAACTGAAACAGGAAGGAACGCGGGCTGAGAAGGCTTTCATCCAGCCCACAGCGTTTCTCTCTCCAGATGCAATATCGTTTTCTCGTTTCGTTTTGTTTTGTTTTTCCGCCGTACTTTGGTAGGGTTAAAATTAGCTGGCAGCATTCTGGTCACATGCTAGACAGCAAAACAAAAGGGAGCTGTTCTGAGGCAGCTCCTGAAGCAGCCCCGTGGACCTTACTAATCCATGGGCTTCTGGGAGCTGCCTCTTCAGGCCCGGGTGCAGAGGGGCCGCCCGGGTGCAGAGGGGCCGCCCCGGTGACGCCCCTCTGATGCCCGTCTGCCGTGACAGGGCAGAACATGGGCAGTGTCCAGGCAGTTTGGAATCTCGGGGCTTGCCTCCATCTGGGAAGGCACTCGAGAGCCCCAGAATGGTTTTTGCAAATCTTACCACTTGGAAGAGGAAGGCTGGGAAAAAGGAAGAACTTTCGAAGCCAAAAAATAAGCACATACCACAAGGACGTCGAGAGACAGAGGAAGGGCAGGGTCTGAAATGTGAACTGAGGCATCACCTTCTGGGGGAAGGGCTGCTCTTGCCATGGTTAAAACGGAAAATCCTGCTCTGTGCGGGCGGCTCTACACATAGATTCTTTATCTCTGGACCCTGATAATAAAGGGTTTCTGGTGATCTGCTTTGTTCTTCTGGTTTAAAACTGTCACTCTAAGGCTGGGATGAAAGATGCAGCCTCTGATTCCTGCAGGCAGTCAGGAAGCATCGCTTGCTCAGTACAGAAACATGTCGGTCAACCTGGGAATGGGATCACCACCACGAAATATGCTTGGGCTTGACAAAGCTTAGCAGCTTCGAGAGCCAAAAACCCAGCTGCCTGGATTGTCTGGGGAAGGTGGGGTCTGGGGTGGGGGTGGGAGGAGGGACTGGGAGAAAGAAGGACTTTTGCAATCACCTGATTTCTGCCCCCAATTCTGTCCTGTTTAATTCCAAGCCACACCCATCTCCAAATATCTCAACGGTAAATAGATCCTAAAAATCACACAGAACACTACCCCTTCCACTTCTGTGCCTGCTGGCAAGGTGAAGCAGATGGCTTCTATCGATAAATTTATTTATTTACTTGAAGTCAGGAAATGCCAGCGAGACAGAGTGCGGGTGACTCTGGCCAAAATTGCCGTGACGATCGTAAGCAGACACCCAGAGAGAGTCTGGTGGAAACAAAGGGCAGGTAGGCCCCAGGAACCCGGGCATTCTCCGGCTCTGTCCCGTCTGGCCTCCACAGCAGCCGTGCACTCAGAAAGAAATCCCTCGGTCGGTTCAACATCCTGTGATATTCAAAGGTTTGTGTGAGCTATGTAGCACCCACTTGCTCAAAAGGGGTCCATAAACTGAGCAGGCCTCTGACTCCGATCTCATCCTGAAGCCCTCATTATACCGACAGGCCCAAACAGAAATTCCCCCTGCCTTAGCGCCTGGCACAGAAGGTCCTCTTTAATAAACATACACCATTTTTTAGTGGAACAGCCTCAAGGTGTTAAAAGTACATAAAGGTCTGAAAGCTGAAGCCCTAGATAAACAGTGAGCCGAAATATATTTAGCAGAAAATATTGAAAGCCACAGGAAAAATATGTTCTCTTCCTGGGATGTTAACAAAGGTTTAAGTTCAGGAAAGCTTCAGGAAACAGCGAGCCGGGTCGAGAAGGAATGCTGTTCAATGTAAATAAATCACTAAACCTCTTTGGCCTCCATAGGCCTTGGCTGGAATAGACTATTTCATTTTTTCCCCATTAAACAGGCCACCCGGAGAGTTGGCATTATAGACCTGAACATGTACCAAATCTGAATGTGCTATTTTGTTTCTGTACATTGAATCAGACTGTGTTTCAAACAGCAGCTTGTGCAAAATAGGAGGCCAGCAGTGCAGACCGGCGCAACCTCACACTCAGCATAAATGATAGACCTGTTTCACCTCGGATCACCCAGTGTCTTGTCTCCAGAAACATGCCCTCTGTTGTTGCTGCCCGGGTGATGTCATGCTCATTCTCAAGCCCGAGGCTCCAAAGGGCTCGGGTGCCTCTACTGCAATAAGATGCCTTCAGAAAGACCCAGATTTCCTGTGGGCTCAGGGCAGGGAGAAAGAGGACAAGGAAGGAGCTGCAGCCACTCTCCCTAAGATGGATGCTGCATGATGTCAGTGGCTGGCTAAAATATCTGGCATCCTTGCAGTTCTAAGTTGCCAGCAAAATATTATTAAAAAGATAAAATACACGCAAACTGTGCAGAATGTAGGGCTCCTGTGTTTACATCCGGGTTTTGATGACTCAAAGACTTACACTTGGACTTGCTGAAAAGCTCTATTAAAAACACAGCTTTGTGAAAGCCCCCAGGGAGCAGGAAGCAGGGCTGGGGAGGGCGTGAGATTGTCTGGGGTGGGTGGGAGGGGGGGTGGGCGTTTTGGTGACCTGCCCCAAAAGGGTGCTTAGTCCTGTGGTCCTGACTGGCACTTCAGAATCGGGAACCGCTTAGAGGTTAACCCTCTTCTCCGCTTCGGAACCAGGGAGAGGAGGGTTAACCTTTTTCCAGAACATTTATTTCACCATCTCACTGACTAGGAGGAGGAGGGGCGGGAGAGAGCGAGAGCCTGCCGCGCAGAGAGGCTGCGGATCACAAGGCCACTCTGATAGCCTCCTGTCCCCATGGCAACCGCAACGGCATTTATCAGTTCCTTCTGCGCACAGGCACAGCAAATCTGCATTGCACATGGCAGGCTTCCAGCATTTCAAATGAAAGAGCACTTTGAACGGCTGCCAAGTTTGGAAGGAGCAGAACTGTCAGGGCTGCTTAAAGCTGGCAGTTTATACTGGGGAGGCTTTCACTTCCCAGAATCCTCTGGGCCTGGCGAGCTGCCAAGTACTTAGCGGAAGCTAAAAAGTAACTCACTCCGCTCCCTCCCTTCCCCTCCCCTCCTGCCCCTGCTCTCGCTACCGCCACCCCCCCCCCCACCCCGCCATTCACCGCAGTGCTCTCAAAAATTTCCACATGTCCTGTGTCACCAGTGCAGACGGTACAATGAAAACCAGAACCCTGGCTCCCCATGCCCGGGCTTTTATTAATAGGGGGCGGGGTTGGGGGGCAGGTTGGAATCTGACGCTGACAGCCGGGGCACCGGGTCTTCACTGTACCTGCCATAACCACAGGGTGTGAACGTGTGTGTGCGCGCGCGCGCTCGCGCGCCTTGCAGCCTCAAAAACACATGAATAAAAATAGAAGTGAAAGGAGCTTTAGTGTAGACACCCAGAGTACAGGGTCACTACTAGGGTGGATTTCAGTTGGGTGTTTGGAGCTTCATTTAGGGTAAGGAATGGAGGTTATGCAGGCAGCGTGGTTCAGACGCAGCCTTGCCAAGAGCCTTGGGGAAGAGGGTTGTTATTGAGAACCCAACCAGTGTTGGGAGCTTTTCTCCTATCTCTGGGGTGTCTTGAAACCTCTGAGGCCACGGATGGGGAGGGAGTCTGACGATGGTTTTCAGTGGAAAGTTTACCAGATAACTTCTGATTGTCACGCTGTCGCACCCAGAGCACAAGGGCTTCTGCTAGCAGAAACTGGAAATTGGCACCGTGTTCACTGTGCTGAATTTTTTTTTTTTAAATTATAATCTACACTGAGATCAAGGGCCCGGGCTTCATTTTCCAGCACAAATAGAACAAAAATTGTCTGCCGCTTAGGCAGTTGGATAGAGTTCAGGAAAACTATGTCTGGCATTAATTCCAAAGTGGAGGTTTTGGTTCAAGCGAGGCCCATTAATTTCAGTAAACTGTTTTCACTAGTCCGGTCCCTGCTGTGCGAGAACTATTTATTACCTTTTGCTAACTTGATGTCTGCAGAGATGTAAAGTAAAAGGGGGAAGAAATCCAGGGTGGAGATATCTATATCTTGGATCAAATGGGTTTTGCACCTTCCCTTTGGGGGCTGTGTTTTATGAGGCATTTTCTATCTGCGGTTTTTGTTTAGCAGCCCCCATGTTTGTTTTTGGTTTTTAAATCCATCTTGCACAGTGAATTAGAGGGGAGAAAATCCTAAAGGAGAGGAAACTAGCAAGAGCAAACACCTATCTCCTGCCTCCTTCGGAAGGGCCCCTCCCAGACACGGGGGTTTTGTGTGCCTGTCCATGGCTTCCAGGCTGTAGGTCCAATGCAAAGCCCCAGCATGATTCACCCTGACGATCCCGGCTAAAATACACCAAGACAGTCCATTTTGGCATTTGTTCTCCCTTAGGAATTTTACTAGCTGCCTTAGAAAAGCACATAAATTGCTTCCCCCTCCCTCTCTTTTTTCCATGCCTCCTCTCTTCGTCCCCACCCCTCCCCCACTCCATCTTGATGTCATTTCAAAGGGAAGGATGAAAAGGGGGGATTTGTCAGGCGGTCAGGTTTGTGAATGTGTCTTTCTAGACCTCAGCACACACAGGCACACACAGGCACACACAGACACACACACCCCGGTTGAGAGTGAGAATGTTAATCAGAATTAAAAGCCAGTCAGTATTATTAAAGCATCAAACATGCAGACTTAGAAAGAGGAGTGGGGTGGGGCGGGGCGGGGCAGGGGGAGTGGGAATGAAATATAATTCCATTCTCTGATTTACTAAAAGAAAGGAGGGGAAAGGTAACACCAATTTGGTCAGCTTGTCAAATGTCAGAATTATTGGTCTTTCCTTTTAACTACCCCTCCGCCCGCCCCAACCGCCCAACACAGTCAAGTTTCGTGCCTTTCCCAACTGTGATTAATCTCTGGCAGAGGCTAGAAACGGGAGTAGGATTCTTGGCTGCCCATTCTGATAAACAATCTGTTCTTGGGAAGAGTAGGTGAAGGGGGCGTCAGGGGGTGTGTTGGGGGGGGGCGAGTAATCTGCGGGCGTTGTGGGGGAGGGGAAGAGGAGGGAGGGTACCCGAGGCCAGCCCACCTAACCCTAGCAGAGGCCCGCCCTCCCGGAAAATGCAAGTGCCCTTCCTTTGGAGCGCGTGGTTTGGGGTGGGTCAGGTTTCCTGCCCTTAAGAATGTGAACAGGCAGTGGATTCATTCTTGCTGCCAGTTCACAACGTCCAGGAAACGTCAGAGGGACTACGAGGGCTGGGGGAGGGAGAGGAAAGGGGAGTGGAGAAGGGAAGAGCCCGCGCGCCTGGAGGAGGCCTCAGACCCGTGTTGAACGCTCTGGGCGCTACCGACCCGGGGGCTGTGGTGCAGAGACCGCTTGCCTCGGTAAACCGAGGCAGCGGCAGG